CCCTCTATGGGCAGCAGGAATGGCTTATCCAGATCTCTCCTTGGCAAAGGAATAAATGTATCTACCACCTCCAAAAGCTTCATAATGGAGTCGACACCCAGCTCCGGCTGCTTGTTCTAAACACACACACAATCATAACAGAAGCAAAGCCATGAAATGTAGGAGCCACATGTGATTCAACACAATTCAAAACATCACAGTTTCTTCATTTCGGCACACGTGTGTGTTGTGTTTGTGTATGTGTATGTGTGTATCCAATCAATTCCACATGGACAAAATCAAGCCCCGCCCTACATTTACTCTTGTTCGAGAAGCTGTTTCACTTATATATACACACACACGTCACAATAGGGAAGAAAAAAACGATCGCAACTTCCATTTCACGCCGACTTTTAAAGGGGCTATGTGTAGGTTTTTACTTAAGAAAATCTTTAAGATAGTCTTCATTTGTACATTTATGAGCCAACCATAATGTAATAGAAAGTAGGGGTGTGCGATATCACGGTTTTTGATCGTGGATGATTAAAATGTCTCCACGATCTGCTTTTGAAGAAATATCGTAGTATCGTGCATTTTATCAGTTGCAGTTCTGGCGCCGAGCTCCGTCTCAACATACAACAACTGTTAACGCAGAGGAACGGGACACTGCAGTTCACAGAAGTTCATTATTTGCATGTGCTTTAAAGCCTTGCTGGTTAAACATGTAATTCACGTGCTGATGCGCGGTTCTGACGTGTGCTTTCTGAGCGCATACACCCGAAGCACACGGGCACTAAAAGCCTGTCTAACAGCGTCTGTTTACTGGACTACGTTATAAGTTATCTTTCGAGTCTTATTGCGCTAATATTGTCAAATACACACAAGGTTTACATCAACAAAGTTGGTTATGTCTAAAGTGAAAGCAAACAGAAAAAAAATGAGAGAAAATCTTCTTGTCAAATGCGTGTATATTAGACGCGTCGCGTGCAGCTCTTAAAGCGACAGTAGCCAGTTAGTAAACAAGCTGCCTCTTGTCCTTAAAGAGATAAGTCACCCAAAAATAAAAATTCTGTCATTATTTACTCACTCTAATGTTGTTCCAAACCTGTATTAATTTCTTTCTTCTGTTGAAAATAAAAGTTATTTGGACATTGTGGCTAACCAAACAGTTGCTGGTCCCCAGACTTCCATAGTAGGAAAACATATACTATGGAAGTCACTGGAGTACAGCAACTGTTTGGTTAGCCACATTCTTCCAAATAACTTTTATTTTCAACAGAAGAAAGAAACTTATTCGGGTTTAAAACAACTTGAGAGAGTAAATGATGACAATTAAAATGTTTGGGAGAACTATCCCGTTAATGTTAATAAAACAACAAAACACAAAGAGGAAATCACTCACTGCTCTTGACTGAGAACTTTAGTAGTAGCTTTAATAATAATCAATGTATAATTTATACAGTGAAGTCTATGTTGTGTTTTATTTTCGTATTTGTTCATTTAGCCTAATTACTTTCTTCAATGCTACTGTTAAATACCCCTACTGTAGCTGAAAAAATAAAGCACTGTTTATTTCATTTGTATATTCAGTTGTGTATGCTTAATGTGTATCTTTGTTCCCAATTCTTAATAACAAAGAAAATAATGATAAAGATGTTTATCTTCGCCACTTTGGCCTAAATGTCTGCCATTCTTTTTTCTTTTGTTGCTTATAAGGCTTTTTTTTTTTTAAATAGGGACATTAGTTTGGCTGTAATGCTCAGTCACTTGCAAAATAGTAAAACCAACATGAAAAAGAATCGTGATAAAATCGTTAATCGTGATTTTCCTGAAAAAAATCGTGATATGATATTTTTCCCATATCGCCCACCCCTAATAGAAAGAATGACACCTTGACTGTCCACCACGGTTGCTCTATCAGCCTGTAGGCTCAATTGTGTGTGGAGGAGTCGGGTCCGAATTGGCGTGAAAATTCACAAAATGTGACGTCATGCGCGTTCTCGTCTACTTGGGCTTACATCCATACGGCAGCCATTAGTAAGCAGCGCCGATCGCTAGCAGCAGTGTTTCAAATGGACTCTGCGGACGGAAAGAAGCGACCAGCCTCCAGCATTGTGCTGGATACCCACGGAAACTCCTCGTAAGTAAAAAAAAAAGGCCTTATCTAGTGCGCACCGAGAACGAGCATGAGACTGGCTGCAGTTTCTCTAACGGCCACTGGTGTCAGTAACGGTAAGAAATTTCAGAACTTCCACAATGCTCCTTTAATCAGTTCATCTCCAAGCCTCCATGCTTACCTCCAGAGCACAGAGTGCCGATCCAATCACAACCGGTGTGTTTTCGCCATCGTAGCCGAACTCGGTGAGCAGCTCTCGGATCTCCAGCTCCACCAGGTCCAGCATCTCTTTGTCCTCCACTGCATCGGCCTTGTTCACGAACACCACCACGTGCTCCACGCCGATCTGCCGCGCCAGCAGGAGGTGCTCACGCGTCTGGGGCATCTGACCGTCGGTCGCCGCCACCACTAAGATGCAGCCGTCCAACTGAGAGGTGCCTGTGATCATGTTCTTCAGGCAGAGAGATGTGCATTTATAATAAAGATGACAAATCATACACTACCGTTGGGCCAATTAGATTTTAACCGGTTAAATTGTTTGGTTTTTGAATGTTCACAAACACTGCATTTATTTGACCAAACATACAGTAAAAACAGAACAATTTTGAAAATGTTATTAATAATTAAGTAATTAATGACAGACAATTTAAAAAATATATTATTACAATTTAAAATAACTGTTTTCTATTAGAATATATTGTGAAATACAATTTATTCCTGAGATCAAAGCTGTATTTTCAGCATCATTACTCCAGTCTTCAGTGTCACATGATCCTTCAGAAATCAGTCTAATATGATGATTCGATGCTCAAGAAACATTTCTGATTATCATCAATGTTGTAAACAGTTGTGCTGTCTATATTTTTGAGGAAACTGCGATGCATTTGTTCTCAGGATTCTTTAATAAATATATAAAGTTCAAAAGAAAAGCATTTATTTGAAATGGAAATCTTATGTAACATTATAAATGTCCTTACAGTCACTTTTGATGGATTTAATGCGTCCTTGTTGAATAGGAGTATTCATTTATATCAGAATATATATATGCTATCTGTGTGCAATACCTTGACGTAGTCGGCATGACCGGGGCAGTCTGTGTGAGCGTAGTGTCTGTTGGCAGTGGTGTATTCCACATGCGAGGCGTTTATGGTGATTCCTCTAGCCTTCTCTTCCGGAGCGTTGTCAATATCCTCATACGTCTTATAACTTGCACCACCGGCTTCGGCAAGGACTGACACAAACACATGAACAAAATACAGTCAGCACACTGCTTTTTGAATAGTAAGAAATAAATACAAGTCGACAATATACCTTTGGTAATGGCGGCGGTCAGCGTGGTTTTGCCGTGGTCTACATGACCGATAGTCCCGATGTTCAAATGGGGTTTATCACGAGAGAAAACCTTCTTCGCTTCTGCCGCGAAATTCCTCCGACTCAGAGGAACTGCAAGCTGACAGAACATAATAAAATAAACACATTTCATACACATGATGATAATCCCATGATAATCACAAATAATGATTTTACTCTCTTATTAAACATTATCCCCCGGGTTTCACAGACAAAGCTTAAGCCTAGTCCCAGACTAAAGTGCATTTTTTAAGTGGTTTAAACTGAAAGTAACTTGCACTGGCACATCTTAAAATATGTGTAAGATGCACACCAGTCATGCTTTTTTTCTAAGGCACGTTTATAAAAGATACTTAAATGCCCTAATTGAACTAAGGCCTGATCCTGACTTAATCAAAGCCCTGTTTGTTAAACCAGGCCTATATTGCATAAAGTTACAGATATTTTGAACAAGAAAACTTACCAGTTTATAGGAGCTGTGCAGTAAACTCGGGGAGGTCAACTGAAGGGCTGGAAAACAGGAGAGAAAATGTGCTTAATGTCATGTAAAATTTCATTCATTTGCATGATTTATAGTGGCTTTTGGTTTAGATGTGTGTCTAAGCATTACTTTAACCACTATGCCAAATAAAAGCATGGTTCATAATCAACACACCACAAAACAACCATTAAAAAAGTTCATTGCCTCAAAGTCTCAGTCTCTTGGCACAGCTGTCAAACGTATCTGAGACTGAAACAGCTCTAATCTATTTCCCAGACGTCTAATCTTTATACAGGACAGATCTTTAATTACGTATGCATAAACAATCTTATGCATTAATATCATTACTGTTGCTCTCTCTCGATGATGTAAGGCACCGGCTGAGGAACTTGACCTTGCTTACGGAACGCACGAGCATCCTTTCTCAATTCACAATCACTGTCATTTCCACACTCACATATATACACATATGTGGTACATATCGCACGCAAAACACTCGCAGCATAAACACAATGTCAATGGCACGCGAAAAGAAAAATACACCGATTTTGTAACTTACCGGAGAGGCACGCGCGGACGCTCACGAGCGCAGCCATTTTGCGGACACTGACAAAAGCGCGTGCGCGGAGAAATACACATACGCCATCAACACGCGTCTTTACTTTACCGTAACATTTCTAAACAATGGAAGTGGATATTAAGCGGCATTTTAGCAAACCAAATTACTTTCATTTCATTAAGGACTACTTCATCATGTATTGTATTACAATGAGACTATTGCTAACACTACCACTGTTATAAACATAAGATAAGCAGAAAAATAGACCGTAAAAAAGACTGTAAAAAAACGCTAGTAACAACTGGTATTTTAATTATAAACATGGTGTGTGTTTATATATATATATAATTTTAATTGCTAATATGATCCTAATATAATTGTAGGGTTTACAATGTTTTAATTATGCATATTATTATGTATTTAAAGATTAAATCCCTTTGGTGATATTGAGATACAACTACATTGATGATCAAAATCCATAGTCAAAATCATTACGGTAAGTTTCTTGACGTCATCGCGCGTCGACGGTTTCTGCTGCACGCGCCGTTAATGTGCGTTGTGCTGCAGCATCTGGAAGCTTCTGGATCAGCGATGGTGTCTTTATAATTTCTGCGCGGAGATCACGCACATTATTATTAATACCGCTGCGAAACCTCTTGACACACATCCTTACAACGTCTACTTCTAAACTTTGGCACACAGCATTTCCAAAGGTAGGCCCGAGTTGTTTACCCGTGTTTACATTTTGTATCTTAAGTAGAACGTGATTCGGTTTCGTTGTATTTGGCTGTTCCTTATCTTTGAGTCTGACAGTATATCTGTTAAATATGTCAAACATATTTTATCTGCTATAACATATCTGTAACTTTACCTCTGTTAGGGAAATATACATTACATGTCATACAATGTTATAAGTGATAATATATCTGTAAGTGAAACAAAATAAATATATACATTTCACAAAAATGTATTATCTGTGATGATACATCTGTAAGGAAATCTAAATAAATGTCACAAAATATATGATCTGTGATAACATCTGTAACTGAAATAGTAAAATGTCATATATTATCTGTGATGTGCTAATATCTGACTGTAAGTGTAATATAATAAATAAATATCATAAAATATATTATATGATAATATATATGTAAGTAATAAATGTCACAAAATGTATTATCTGTAAGCGAAATATAATAAATAAATGTCACCAAAATATATTATCTTAACATATCTCTCAATGAAAGAAAAAATATCAAAAGTATATTATCTCTCTGCAAGTGAAATAAAAGATATAAATGTCAAAAGTTATTCTCAACTTGACAAGAAGTTACCATAAAAATAAACCAAAAATATTTAGTATTATACTGCAAATAGCAGTAATGGGATTTTGTGCATCTCATTTTTCTTTACAAAGTTTTTGACAGGTTTTAGTTGCCCGAATATTGAATTTATTTATTAAGCCTGTTTAAAAAGCATTTACGGATTGGCAGAAAACCTTTGAATCCCGGATATCATATGATGTGTCTTTATCTCCATTAGATGGCAGAAGGCAGGGGTAACAGGCAACACCCCCGTAATTTGCAAGGTGTGCTTCAGATGGCAGTGGAGGCCGGCTCTGCTTCGGACGGTCCGGCTCCACCAGAACCCATGACTCAAGAGGTGAGCATGCAATCCCTGAAATATGTCCTGACAGTTATTTATATGTCTGGTCTGTAATGTTGATGTTTACTAAAATACTCGTTTAATATGCAGTCATCTATAAGTAAACCACGTTCTCTCCCTTTCTAGAGGTTGGAGTTTCTGAGAGGAGCTCTAGCAGAAGTGTGTAAAGGACAGATGGATGAGGTCGAGCAGATGAAACAGTGTTTGGACGTGCTGAATAGAGATGAACGCAGGGAGGGAGAGGAGGAGGAGGAAGAGGAGGATGAGCGAGAGGAAGCCCTGGAAATGCTTTCTGAGCTCTGTGAGAACCTTGACAATGCGAGAGGTGTGTATGTGTGTGTGTGTTTGCTCTTCAGACTTTCTTGTTGTCTTCTTGTGGCACGTAACGCATGCATCCCTTCTCTGTGTGTTTTGTAGATCTGATGAAGCTGGGCGGTCTGGATTTGTGTATGTCCCGGGCTCTCTGTCACTCCGAGGCGGGCATTCGCTGGAGAGCGGCTCAGCTCATCGCCAGCTGTGCCCAGAATATGCCCGAGGTGCAGTTCTACCTGCTCAACCAGGGGGCGCTCCTGACACTCCTGCAACTCACAGATCACGACGCAAACAGCACAGTTAGAGTTAAAGCACTCTACGCCGTGTCCTGTGAGTATAGTTGCGCATACAAGAAAATGTCTGGATTGATTTTGTCCAAGATTTTATATCGAGTATTGGGTGCATACGCACAAATTTGTGTGTGAAATGATACACCAATAACTTTCGCCTTTAATTTGTTCTAAATCTAGGGAGAAATGTTGGAACAACTGAAACCACGCATACGCATGAATCACACTTTTGTGAGAATTTGCATGAAAATATTAAATAGCTCTACACAAACTCTATCTCTGTTAGCATCGGATATATCTACTACACAACCACTCTCGTCAGTATGTTTTTTCTGATATAAATGAATAATCAAATATGAGATAATTCACACAATTAGTAGTAACATTAGACATTAGTAAATGAGTAGAGCTCTACAGAATCTATATCTCTGCTCTGGGTTTGAGTCGATGAATTTGGGGGGATAAAAAGTGCAAATCATCTTCACAAACGGCTGTTGTCGACAATAAACCTAAAAAAAAAAAAATGCTTGAAAATGAAGACATTACAAAGTATTGTAATTTTACCATTGCAAAAGAAAATGATTATTATTACCGGTATATTATTTTTCTTAAATACTGCTTTTTTACTATACAGTTAAGTTTTGCAATAGTAGTGTTTCTTATTTTGTTTAATATTTCTATTTAGTAGTGTAATATTCATTTATTGATTTAGTCACAGATTTTTTGGCCGAATTGTGCATCCCTACAAACAAGCACTAAAATCGCATTTTATATCGCATTTTACATTTTAACTCCGAATCGTACAGCCCTAATCAACCTATTTATTTTATTATATTTAGTCTATATGATTTAGGTTATTTTTGGTTGGTGACCCAACATTGGATCTTTTTAAGTGAAAGGCCTCCATTCATTTAGTGGCAAGTCTCCTCCTTGCCGCTGGAATTAAGCATCTTCAAATCTTGTGTTTCCCAGGTTTAGTCCGGGAACAGGATGTAGGTCTGCGGGACTTCCTGTCACATGATGGTTTTTCAGTGCTGATGAGGGGGATGCAGTCAGACAGTGAGAAACTGAGAACTAAATCTGCTTTCCTTCTCCTCAACCTTCTGTCCAGTCACCCAGAACACAAAGGTAGTGCTGAATCTGAAAGCAGTGTGTTCGAGCATCTGGAGTCCAGTTTGTACGAGTGTTTTATGTATTCATTCTTATTTTCTCAGATACGGTGTTGTCTATGGGGATGGTTCAGCAGCTGGTGTCAGTTCTTCGGTCCCCTCATTCCTCTGTACATGAACATGTACTTGGTGCCCTCTGCTGGTTAGTAACATTTACTGCATGATGAAAATGAAACTTCAGTATGCTGATGGAAGTACATCAGCTTTTGGAGTTTGACGCTTGGTTTCTGACTGTTTTTCTGCAACATGTATGTGTGTAGTCTGGTTGAGGACTCTCCCCGTGGTGTGAGTGATTGCAGAGATCCATCGCTGGGCTTGGAGGAACTGCTCAACCAGCGAGTGCAGGACCTAAGGGGACAAGAGGAGAGCCAGGTAAATTAATTCACTCATCTCTTAACTGTTATTTTTTATGTTTATCTCTCCTGTACGTTGTCCTGCTCTCACATTCACTTTCATATCAAATATTTTAAAGTCCACATGTAATAAAAATGGACCTTTTTTCCTTTTTTCCTTGTCGTCTTATGTGTGATTTGTTGATGCATGTTCTTCCAAAGAAAACAAGTATGGTTTCGAAATCCTTCACCAATATTAAATAACTTGTCTTGCGTCTGAAATGACTTTCTTTCTTAGCTCACATCACATAGGGGACTCATTTATAGTTATGAGCAACATGGGTAGGTAAAATAATAGAGAAAATAACGTTTAGCAGCAATAATCAAATAGTTTTTTGGCTGTTCTTGTAGGTAATAAAGCCTTTTTAAAATCGTACACAATAATTAAATGCAGATTCACATTGACATAAAACAATTCTACCACAATAATAACAAATAGCATTACATTTGCCAAATATCATGAGCCAGTTCGTGTTTGGTATTTGAAAATAATTGAAATAAAATATAAATATTAGATAATAAAAAAATCTTAATATAGAAATGTTGACTTGGCAGAGGCTAAAGCACTAAAATAACTAAAACTGAAATAAAATAAAAACGAAGCTAACATAATTATATAAAAGAACAAAAATATTAATTTATATACTAATTAAAAAAATGAAAAAGGTAAAGCAAATTCAAAGTATTAATAAATAATATTTAATAGTATATAAGTAACACTATTAGCCAGTCAGTTACTTTTGTTCCCCCTTTCTCTCATTGAATCTTTTGGGGTTTTTAAAGTAACAATGTAAAAGTAATATAGGTTGCAAGCAATGCTTCATAATGACTCGAATGTCTGACAACTCTGAATGCTCTTTTCCTGCAGGAGGAGCTGGAGTTTTGTGAGCGTTTACGAGTGGCTTGTTTCCAAGGGCAACCCCTGGAGGACAGTGGAATGGATCGCTGAGCTCTTTACCGGTGATTTCATTGGAAGGCAAAGAAAGAAAGAAGCAAGCCGTGTTTGTATCCCCTCTCTGTTTAAGAGAGAAATAGAATTGTTCAAACTTGAAAGAGACTTTAACTCTGAATAGAGTTCAGTTTGACCAGCTAAGTGTGCATGTGCAAACTCACATACCATGAACTGTACACAAACACTCTTGTGTTCTAATATGAATATGTACATTTTTGTATAATATGTCAGTTTGTTGTTATAAATTATGTGCTGTTTAGGCTCAACTTTCTAGATGTTTATTCTTCCTCTTTACACAAATACAAACCTATAATGTAGAACTACATATAAAAATAATAAAACATAATTTGTAGATTTAAAATAAAGAGTGTTCTGATTCAAACCTCTGTTTAAGTTCAATTCTGACCTAAAAATACTTTGTAGTGAGCGTTTAAACACATGCACGAACATGAGCCTTTTTTACACCATTAAATTATCTAATAACCACGATTCTTTACTTTAGATTTAATATTATAGATTATATAATATAGATACATTTTTGAAGTGAAACGGACACAATTTAGAAATTTTGTCACCTGCTATTTTAGCATTGTCCTCCTGATTCATCTGTAATTTTTGAGGAATCCATTACAATATGTTTAACGCACAGCTGATTAAGATATTTATGGTAATATAGAATAGAGACATAGTGTAAATCCCATGATAACTTATAATGAAATAGGTTGTGGTCTTTAAAGTCCAGTTGTATGACAAGAAACAGGACACTTTTTTGAAGATTGATTTTAAAAGCAATCAAAACATCTATTTATCAAATATGATTTAAACCAGTACTGCTCTTGGAGGGCCACTGTCCTGTAGAGTTCAGCTCCAACCCCAATTAAACACTCCTGAACCAGATAATCATGGTCTTACTATAGCCTATAGGCGTACTAGAAGCTTACAGGCAGGAGTGTTTAGGCTAAAGTTGGAGCCAAACTCTGCAGGACACACCTGATTTAAACTTTAAAAAATGTCCTTGGAAAATCTAACCCAGTTTCCTATTTGGTGAATTCAGGACCTTGAGATAAACTTGTCTCAAATGAAGATTTGATATCAAGTATAAGACCAAAATGGAAGCTTTATCTGTCCACAGTTTCCAGTCATTCCCAACAAGAACTAATATAGGTTTTTTTTTTTTTTTTTGCTAGAATGATCTGAAAGATTATTAGCAATAAGAAAACACTTTTCTACATAAGGAAAGGTTAGGGTTATTTTTAAGACTCTGAATAATGTGTCTGAATGCATGTAAAACTAAATCAGATGAAGTATAATTTTATCTCACACCACAGACTTAAAAATAAAGGTTCTTTACTGGCACCAAAGATTCAATGAAGAACTCAAAAAATGAATTTATTAACCCTTTCTCAACTCAATTTAGGATTTTCTTTTACACAATTTAATTTATTTCTTCTAAACTAAATAAGTTTAGTTGAGTCAACACATTTTGGTTGGTTTAAGCCAAATTAATTGAGTCTAGTATGTAAATGAACTAAATAAACATGCAGTAAGAATGCAGTTTCATTCATCATTATATACAATAATGTACAAATAAGAAAAGTCTGGTGTCAGTACTGACTTTACTATAGTTATTACTCACAGCCTGAGCACAAGTGCTACTCTTTAGCATAAGCCCACATTCAAAAACATTACAGAAACTCTAAACATGTAGCTGAACATCAAACACTAGAATGTCTTCCCCTTTACCAAAAAACACATAAAATAACACCTTAAAGAGGTCCAAAATCAGAGCAGAAAGTCTTAAATTCATGTCATTCATTAAATGTTGCGTCTATTGCAAAAAATTAATAACTTCCTCAGTATTTTTGTCCTGTTTTCCAGTTGAAATATCTAAGCATTCTTAAATCAAGATTAATTTACTTGAGATGCAAATGTAAAACGAAGTCTTGAAATATTTAACAAAATTAAGTGAGTTCATGCTTAAAACAAGAATAAATATCTTTCAGCGAGTTATGAAAACTTCCCTTTGAATTAAGTTGATTTTTCTGAGCCCATTGGTAGATATATGTTCTTGTTTTAATCACAAACTCGCTTAATTTTGATCAATTTCACAGAAGACTTAATTTTTATGTTATTCCAGGAAATTCGTCTTGATGACAGAATATTTAGACGTGCACTGGAAATAAGACAAAAATACTGAGGAAGAACATCACTTTGCAGTGTGATCAGAAGGTTCAGTAAAAGTTATTTCCATGTTCTAGTGTTTGGGAACAGAGTTCAAGCTACTATTTTTGTAAAATTAATAAAAAAGTAATGGACATCTGTTGTAAGTTGTATTGTCAAACTCTGAAGTGTTGCTAAAACAAAACATAGACATTTACATTTAGAGACCACCATATTGACGTATTGTGTTCCCTTCAATTTATTCATTACATTTTCTTTACTTGGTCTTTATAAACGCTTAAAGTTTCACAAAGTTCTTTCTGGAACCCGAGATGGTTCTTCTATGGAATCTCTGTGAAACTTCCTTTTGGAATCTTCATTTTTAAGAGTGAATTATACACCTTTTTTTGTGACGTCTTGTCAACTTTCTTTATCATGGGCTTTGGCCAGTTTATTTGGGGCACACTGAAAGCAGCTGTCACTTTCTCAAACCTAAAGTGCCGTTTATGGAACGCAGTTAATCAGTATTTGCTTACATAAGCGTTAGAATGTATTTATAATGCGTTTGAGGTGCAGGTAGACACACATCCATTCTGTGTGAACAGAGAATCAGTGCTAGTAACTTCTGTCCTCATGGCTTGGCACTTGCCGCTGCTTGTTTCTTTGTTTGTGGTGTTTGCCAGTGGCTTCACTGAAGGTAAGTCGTATTCAATCTTATAGTTATTATTGAATTATTACTGGTCATTTACTCTTCATCTGTGTGTACAGGCTGTAGAAATAATACAAACGTTTTTTGAAGGGTTTGTTCACTGAAAGAATAACATTTATTACCCTTCTTGTCATTCCAAAAAGAAGATGGTGTTTCGTCACGAACCAAATCAAAACATTGAAGAGTTTTTTATATAATAGGGCCAAAAAATAGCACCATAAAAATATAGTAAAAGTAATTTATGTGACTAGAATGTTATTTTCTACGTCTGCTAGCTGTATGGTAAGTTAACAAATAAAATCTTATTGTAAAGTATTTTACTGCTTGGGTTCGCTAAAGGTTTAGGGTATTTTTTGGGTCTGAAACTCTAGATGTTTGTTCACCCAAAAATGAAAATGATGTCATTAATGACTCACCCTCATGTCGTTCCAAGCCCGTGAGACCTCCGTTCATCTTCGGAACACAGTTTAAGATATTTTAGATTTAGTCCGAGAGCTTTCTGTCCCTCCATTGAAAATGTATGTACGGTATACTGTCCTTGACCAGAAAGGAAATAAAGACATCATCAAAGTAGTCCATGTGACACCAGTGGGTTAGTTAGAATGTTTTGAAGCATCGAAAATACATTTTGGTCCAAAAATAACAAAAACTACGACTTTATTCAGCATTGTATTCTCTTCCGGTTCTGTTGTCGATCCGCGTTCAGTGATGATGATGACGTTAGACGCTGTAAAATATCTTAAACTGTGTTCCGAAGATGAACGGAGGTCTTACGGGCTTGGAGCGACATGAGGGTGAGTCATTAATGACATCATTAACATCATTTTTGGGTGAACTAACCCTTTAATAGCTGTGGTTGCATTATTACTATTTAAAATGTCCATGTTGTCTTTATTTGTTTCATTAGCGACCACCACAAGGCGCATGGATGACTTCATCAGTGCTGTGGAGAGAATTGAAGCAGAGAATCCAGGACTTCAGATGCTCGATGTGGTCAAAGGTTTACGTAAGGCTGCTGGCTTTGAAACCGACCTCATCAAGCGTCACCTCGGCGTCCTCAGTGATGCACGCGACCTGGCGACAGAACCATCCGTCATTTCATTCTTAAGCAAGGTCATTAATCACAGCATATCACAGTTGGGTGAGGAGGAAGGTGTAGTTCTGACTTTAGATGGTTCAAATGTGGCGTTGGCCCCAATGCTCCTCGGACTTGAGGCTGGGCTGCAGTCGGCCATCCAAGGCCTGTACCCTTTAACCTTGACCGAGAACCTGGTTGCCTCTTTGGTCCATCATGCCCACAATGAGCAGTCCACCGCTCCTCTGGGCACTAAAGGTTTTTGGGATAGCATTAAATCCCCAAAGGTGTACACTCTCTCTGGTTTGCCCTCCTTGGCAACAGACGCCCTAATAACCGGAGGAGTGGACGGGTTCATCCTCGGGTCGGAAGTTGCCACGTCTGACTTTCGTGAGCTTTCACTGAGTGACTTGGTGAAGAGTTACTACAGCCACCAGCTTGACGCCGCAGGGTTGGACGCAGCGCCCCGTCTGATTAGTCAAAATCGAAGGATGAACTTTAAAAAGGTCGTCAGCTTCTCTTTGCTGAAAAGCCAAGTGGTTCAGGCTCTAACAGTTCGTCGTAACTTAAATGAGTCTGAGAGGAAGAGGCTGGATGATGTCGTGAACGAGGGGTTTGAGCAATTTGTCCATGTGTATGCGGGTAATTAAAGCTATTCATTTATTTATTTATTACTGATGTTAACCATTTTATACTGATTAGTTATAAAAATGTATATGTAAATTATATATTTATATAAATACATTTTTTCTTTTACTTTTTAAATTTTATTTATTTATTTACATTTTTAAGATTACTCTATTTTAGAGTTTTAACTTGTATTTTACTTTTTTACAGTATTTAAAAAATATATATATTTATAAAAATACATTTCCTTATGTTTTACTATTATATAATATATTTCACACTAATATATATATATATATATATATTAGATGCTCGATATATTGTATAATATATATATATATATATATGTACATATATATTTATGTATATATATATATTATACTATCATATATACTATTTTTGTTTTTAATTTTAAATTCTAAGGCTGACTAATGTATTTTAACTGTTATAATATATATATATGAAAATATATATTAAATTATTTTATTGTTAAATTAGGAATATTTTTTAATAATATCATTAATGCTCTACCAAGTAAACCACTTTATTTGTGACAAATTTGCAATCTGTCAATAGCAATTTTGTGTTCTCACATTGCTTTTTTTCCCCTGCCAAGTTTGTCCTAAAATCATTACGAGGTCTCAATGGGGGGCAGCATCTTACATCGGCTCTCCCTCCTATCTGTCTCTCCCTGTGCCGTACCTTTTCATCCACCACACATATCAACCCTCCAAGCCTTGCACCACCTTTGAGCAATGTGCCAGTGAGATGCGGTCCATGCAGCGCTACCACCAGCAAAGCAATGGATGGTCTGACATTGGATACAGGTTAGGAAAGTCCTAATGGGTATTCAAATAATTTAAGATATCAATCTGTACCATAAAGCCCTTTGAACTGCTTTTCATGTGCTGAACCGACTGACTGATTGCAATTTAATTTCTTGTTCTTCCCCCTGAAGTTTTGTTGCAGGCTCTGATGGAAACTTGTACGAAGGCCGCGGCTGGAATTGGGTGGGTGCGCACACTTACGGGTACAACTCCAGAGGCTATGGCGTCTGCTTCATTGGAGATTATACCTCCACAATCCCCTCCAGGAGTGCGATAAACATGGTGCGGTACGACTTCACAAGCTGTGCTGTGAACGGAGGTCGACTGTCTTCATCTTACTCCTTGTATGGACACAGGCAAGCCACTGCCACAGACTGCCCAGGAAATGCCTTCTACCGTGAAATCCAGACATGGGAGCGTTACCAGGTAAAAAGATGAACAAAAATGTTATGGGGTTTATTGAACTTATGTGGTTCTGAACTTCTGACTGCTCAAAATGTATTGCTGTCCCAACAGTTCAGACCTTAACCGTGTTTCTGTGTGTATCTCTGTTTTTGTCCTACAGAGCTATTTGCCTTGATGACTGTGGCATCAACAATGGGCATCTAATTGTGTCTCTGGAACACAGTACATGATGTATTACATGTATCTCTCATAATAAATGCATAATAAAAAGAAATTAAAAAAAATTGGTCTAAAGCTCCTTTAAAAATGTAATGTTTAAGTATATTACTTTGTTCAGAAACATTACCACCCTATTTTACATAGTTCAAATATAATAAAATTAGCTTATATGATGTTGTAAATTTACAAATCTGACTGTGCTGTGGTTATAATTAAAACAAGTCATTTTTAATCAATACCCCTTGAACACAACTTAATTTTACTTGTTTTAAATATTTTAGGTATTTTCTAGCTGTAGTTACACTGATGTATTTGTAAGGCATGGAAATTGTACAATATATGACTGAGATAGATAGACAGAAAGATAGACAAAATGACAGACGGATAGATAGATAAGACAGACAGACAGATCTATTATATTATTATAACATATTTGTATGTAATTACTTAATAAATTATGTAGTATTTATACATTATAGAAATAAATGTCCTTAAAAAAACGTTGCATTATTTTCTATTTTACATTTTAATATTGTATGTGTATTTTAAGCTGACTCGATTATTTTGCAGTTTTTAACTGTAGCATTTTACATTCTTTTGCAATTAAAATTAGTGACGTTTACAATAATGTCATTCAAGCACTAATAAATGTACTGAAATTAGTCAGCTATGCACCGTTGCAACCGCACTGATCAAGTCTAGTTCATCTCTCAACCTGCTGTGAAAGAGTTACACCGTGGTTGATACATAAACTCCTTTCCCCTCCCCACCAACGTCACCATCCCTCCGAAACTAACAACATGGAGTCCGGTGTTTAGAGTGCAAAGGCGGTCTTCACCGTTTGCTAAACCTATATGCTTTCCCGGTGATCCTGAGGGAAGGCTGCGACGCTCCGGGACGCATACAGCGCAACGCACACATGCTCTATAAGCGCCCGTGCGTTCGTGCCACTTGAATCCAAATAGGACATGGAGAAAGCGATGTGATTGGAAGCAGAGAATTCCAAAGACAGGCCGCTTTCCGTGAGTGTTGCACAATTTCATCCTAACCGCACACATTCTAGGAAATGTTTAACAGTCTCAGATTGTGCTGCTGGGGAAGTACAGCGTTTGCAGATGGTCCAGTATTAATATCGCAAGTTATAAACGAATGTGAACTACATAGACGAGCACCATATTGTCGGGAGCCGGTACTAGCCTATTTTTTTTTCTCCAGTAAAAAACGGCCTCCTCTGACAGACATTATCATCGTAGGAAATGAGGCATGATAAAATAGGTCAGACAGAGTGATACTCCTCATGAATTCAATACAGAGATTTAGTTAGGCTATTCAAATGCACTCTTTCAGAGACTGAATAGCACAGAGCAGTATATAATTCATCCCCATATTAATTAACCTCTTGAATTTGTAAACATCTTGCAGATGCTTATTTGTAAATTTTCTTTAAATAGCCCGTAAAATGATGAGATTTTTGTGGCTACTAGTCCATTTCTATTGCTTTCAGGTGGTCAATCTTAGATTGCATCTTAGTTGTGTTTGTGTTTGTCCAGAAATGGAATTGCTCTTCATAATGTAGGACAGGAGAGGTGGATTGTATCTGCACACCAGCCTGTGCACCAGAGGATCATGGAGCCTGAGGATGATCTCTCGACCAGGGACTCCCAAGATGTGATGTCCAACCAAGGGCTACTGCCTTCAACATCAACATCCTTACTCAACTGCACCTTCCTGGTATAGCCAAGGCCCTAGACAATGGATCTTTTTAACGTTTTTTTTCTCTTTGCAGTAATTTATTCCTGTTTTCCGATGGAAAAAAAACAACAACAACTAACTGTTACAATATGAATGTAAAACATTATATGGGAGTCATTGTTTTAATACAGTTAGATGCCTTATTATCGTTATTATCATAATTATCGTTGCACTGTTATTGTATACATTTCTGATACCTATCTTTTAACAATTAGCGTACATGTGTGTGAGAATCTTGCAACATTTTATTTCTCTCCTGAACAGAACTATGTAATGTTGGACTTGTTTCAACCCTCTGAACTCACAGGGGGGGTTATTGCATTGTGATGACGTGGAGAAGGGGGATGAAAATGGAGATTCAGAAGGTCCAAACTGCTTTTTCCCCACACTGGAACATTGTGGTAGAGTACAGAAAAGTCCACGTTCTTCAGGCTTTCCCTCATCTCTCACATGGGACTCGGACTCGGAGAAAGAAACCTTGGATGGTAATTGTCTCTCTGGTTCATTCTTACTTTCATGTCAGTGAAAAATACATGGGCGTCTATCTAGAAACTCAAAAAGTCTTGAAATGAGAATTTGCAATCATTCAGCTACATTCAGGCTGAACTATTCTGTGTTTGTACTGTGAAACTTGTCTCTCTGTGAAAAGTGTTAATGGTTTTGTTTGTCTACATGCTGTATTTATAACTGTGAGTCTACTGCTTTCTGTTAAGTCATGTGTATATTGTTTGTGTTCCTGTGTGGATTCGAATGGTTTATGTCAGAGGAAGAACTTCAGCACTTTTCTAACCCTCATGGTCTGGCTGCTCACAGCCCAGGGAGTCCCACCTCTGTACTACAACAAGACAGGTGAGATGCAGATAATTATATGGAAAAGCAGGTTTATAGACAGGGGTGCACATAACTTTTTTTGGTCTGGTTCTCAAGGGAGCACCTGGAGATTCTGCTTGGTACTCACACTTTACGCGGCAAACTTATCCAACAAGCTGTCGTCATCACTTTCTTCCCTGACTGCTCTCCTCACTTTAACACTATTTGTTCACTATAGAAATTAAATATAGGTTCAAGCTGTATTTTTTTATTTTATATTGAAATTAATGACACCGACAACAGAAGGAATATTATACTGCTGTCACTTTAAAGACAGAATGCACAGATCGAATATACTGCCATACATCCGGTTTCTTTCTCAACTGTTCACTTATGACATAACCGAGAGAAAACTTGCAGAGACACGTATTTTTGACATCATTTTGTGTGTATGTGTCCGCTCAAGCGCAAGTAAACGCGAAAGAGGAATCAATTCGGTGTTCGAGTGCTGTCTAAAACGTGCCTCTTTCTTTCTCTCCGTGCGGCTTTGCGCACAGATAAAAAACTTTTGCGCCGATGCGCACAATTTTATCCTCTTCTTTCACTTTTAAAATCGTTTGAATGTGCAAATTGGTAAGACAAAACAAGTCCAAATTATAAACTTTCACTCTATGATGGTTAAACTTAGCAGTTAATCTGCGAATCACATGCGTTGCACACCTATTAATGACTAATAATTAATGAACATACATCATCATATTGCTATCTTACCAGAGATGGACAAAAATCCTACTCCAGTAAGTAAGCGTGTCTCTGTACCCAAAAATGTTGACACTTCCCTCCACGTTTTCTGCTGCACATTGTTTATTTTTTCCACGCATGGTCACCTGCGCACCAGTTATGTGCACCCCTGTTTATAGAAAGGTGCATATATGAGGATTTTAAATATTGAGGGGTTTGATTGAGATCAATATAGAGCTGAAACCTATTCATCAGTCTTAATCTTTATACTTGCAGCTTTGACATTGATCCGTGCCAAGAACCTGTGGAAACCAAGCACTTATTTCTTGATAAAAACCCACTTGCCCCCCTGGAGGTGGAGAATCAAGGAGATGTTACATACAGGGAGCCAACAACAGACTCCAGCCTACCGAAGCGTGCAGCAAAACGTAAAAAAACGAAAAGTACTGTACCTCAAAGCATGTTTGAATTCATGTCAATACCACCATGTGAAATAAAAAAAATACTCAAGTCAATAAAACCTTTCCCTATTTACTTGCAGTGGGAAAAGACAAAGTGAGCCATCTACCAGATACTACACCAAAAGAGGCATGCCAAAAAGAAGAGAAAGATAAACAGAAAGTCCTTAATTGTAGAGGGCAGGAAGAGAAGATCCCCAAAGAGGCTGATGTATACACCTTCCCAGCAGACTCTGAGCCAGAGAGTCCACCACCTGGACCTTGGGCGCACTGCACCTTCATCCAGCGCAGAAGGAAAAAGAGGGTCATACTGAGGCCTTTCTCTGGTTTAGGCACCTGGCAACGCACAACGGGAACCGGCAGAAGGACCAGGGGAAAACCCTCTGGAGCAAAGCAGCGTAGGAAAACCGCAAAGGATGGGGGAGGGATGTTCGATTTTAAAGAGGAAAAAACAGAGAAGGTACGGGGTAGGCAGAACTCAGTAGTAGACCACCAACTGGACGAAGACCTCTCCCAAGAGATTTTCACATGTGTAGAATGTAGCATTTACTTCAAAAAACGTGCCCATCTACGTGAACACATGCTTGAGCATGGCCAGGTCGGGAGACCTGGGAAGAAATGGCAATGTGGAGAGAAAGAAACTTGGAGCGGACATCTTAATAAAAATGCTTTTGAATGTATAGAGTGTGGTCAGGAGTTTGTAGACAAGGTACTGCTGGTAGATCATCACCGATGCCATGAGGAGTCACGGCAGAAAATCCTTGAAGAGATTGGAAAATTAAATGAGGGAGAAAAGCGGGTGGCAGTGCAAGCCAGTTGCAGCAATGCATCGGAGCCAGTCATCCAAGAGTTAACAAAGGTCAACTGTGGCCAGTTTGTGTGTCCTGAGTGCAACTTTAGCTGTGATGTGCCTCAAGAGCTTTCCGAGCACGCCAAGACGCACACCACCCGAAAAAGGGCTGGGGTTTATCGAACTTCACCCCGCTTCCAGCAGAAATCCTGCAAGAAAGGACAGGTCCAGTCCTCTGCAGATGTTACACCAACTTTTATCACTTCACCTCTCAACAAGAGGTACCCCATCCGAGCATCCAAAAAACCTAAAGAAACACAGCCCGACATTGCCCCTTCACAGGTGGATTCATTGTCTTGTCAAAGTGCTTCTGCAACCACAGGAGAAGCCACAGACCAACCTGATAAAGCAACTCTGCATGCAAATACAAACCATTCGGAGGAGTTGAGGCAAATAGGAGAGACATCTCTCTCTATGGAAGAGAATGTTCTACAACCTCAGGACCTAATGTCTCCTCCTCCAAATCCAAGGGCTGTTCCGCGGTGTAAGGATGTGGCATTCAAGAGCATAGGAAAAAAGCGCTCAGTCCGGGCTGCAAAGAATAAACTGGGGCGCACAAGAGCAAGTACAAGACTTGATCGTAAGTCAACCCTGACTACCGGTGTAACAAAGCAAGTCCGAATCTCAAACCAGACTGCAGATAAGGGCCAGAAAGAAGACATTCCAACACCAGAACCAGAGCATGGTTCAAAACAAGACTCCAAAACAGGTAAGTCAATAACAAGTTATAGCACCAAGACCAGTCAATGCTTAGTTGTGTAACTAAACTGGTAAGGTCATAGCAATGGCAAGGCCTAGGTTCCTAGGAAACAGACATATGCACTTAGGCAAAACTTGAATTATCTGCAAGTTGCTTTGGATAAGGTGTTTGCCAAACGCATAAATGTAAATGTAGTCAGTAAATGCTAACACTTAGCATTGTCAACAGTATTTGTGTAAAGGAAACTATACTTGTCAATACAACACTTACGTAGGGAACAAGAGAGGATGCAAAATATCATAAACTAATGGTATATTTATTATTAAGTTATTAATGCATTTTCAGATAGGTCTTGTTTTTATTTTCTATAAATTTCTCACCATCCACTTACAACATTGTCACATTAAATAATACTGTCATAAACCACCACAACAGAACAATTCGAATTTGCAGTCACAACTCTAATTTCATATTCGGAGTAAATACATTACCTGGACTTCTGTCTTTGGTCTTGTAGTGATGCATGCTTACCGGTATGTGTATGTGTACTGCATGTATTGTTGTGCTATTGTGATGTCTAGATTCAATGTGCCTGAGTCAGTTAAACCAAATTTGTGTAATGGAACATCCACTGCCACTGGTTAAAGGAGTGACTCTTCCCATTCCATTGGCCAGTTATTATAGTTGTGAGGTGTAACTTCCTGTTCAATAGGCCGATGCTCACTGTTAGCCACTGTTGGTGGTATAGTGACTTTCTTCCTTAAATTTTTACTGTAGGAGAGGAACAGTTAATCCAGTCAGTGGCCATAGTCAGCAAGGACCAATATTTTGATGGGAGGCAAATGCCAAGTCTTGAAATTCTAAAAGCACATAGTTCACATGCGTTGCGCTTGGCCATAAACTTGGGGAAATCCCAGTTGTCACCCTGGCCTTGCACCTGAAGAGTAGCTTCTCAGCCAGCCTCTGAGGAGCTGCAGAGAGGCTGGGGTTGCTTGAGGGGCAGCAAGCCCAGCTAAGAAACAAGTTATCCCACGTCCTCATAGAGTCTCTCAGCTCTGACCTCCCCTCTCATACAGCAGGGTGATGGGTGAATGATGAGCAGAGCCACAGATTCTAAATGGTTGCAGAGAAGTCAGGCCAAAAAGGAGAATTCTGTCATCATTTACTTTCCATATTGTTATTCCAAACCCATATGACTTTCTTTCCTCTGTTGAACGCAAAAGGAGACATTTATATGGACATTCACAAAACTTTTTTCCTTTTTTAGAGCCCCTGACCCCAATATGCTTTGCTTTAGTTGTATAGAAAAGAGAGGCATGAACATTCTTCAAAATATCTTGTTTCATGTTTCATAAGAAGTCATTTGTGTTTCAGAAAACACAAGTTTCTTTTTGTGTAAAAGAAAACAGAATTTCCATATAGATCAACTTTTATCTTTAACTCAGCTTGCCGTCATTCTCATTGCATCCCACAAATTTTTTGTTGCGCAATAATAATTAATTGCGCAATAATCATCTTTGTTTGTTCGTTTATTTTTTTCATAACTGCTAAACACTCTTGAACACTCCACTTTAACCTCAGGGAGTGAGACACCTGCCAGTGCTCTGGATCTCAAAGCCTGCTCCTCTTCACCAAAGAAGAGCAGCAAAAAGCTTGAAGCACAGGAGAAGGAACCCAAACTCAAAAAAGACAAATCTGATAGTCAGGGGAGGAACAAAGAAGACACACTTGTTGCTGCTAAACTAGAGGATGGTGATGATGATGATGATGATGATAATGAGGATGAAGAAGATGAAGATGATGAAGATGTTGTAAATCGTCTTATTGGTGCATTAACTGAGGAAGATGATGAAGATGATGATAGAGAGGGGTTGTTCAAGAGCGTGGAAAGAAAATGCCCTTATTGCCCAGATCGATTCCATAATGGCATCGGACTAGCCAATCACATTAGGGGTCACCTGAACAGAGTGGGTGTCAGTTACAACGTTAGGCACTTCATCTCCCCAGAGGAGGTTAATGCCATTGAGAAGAAATTCTCCTACCAGAAAAAAAAAAAAAAAGGTGAGGATACTTCTAAATGTTAATGCAGATGGGTTTTTTTGCCTACTATTGTTAATGTCTATGAACTTGATGTCTCATGAAAATGTATTTTCCATATCTACGATACAGAACCAAAGGCTTGTGTAACTTTTTTTATGTAATACTTTCCATTGCCACCTCTAGTCGCCAACTTTGACCCGTCAACCTTCAGCGTTATGAGATGCGAGTTCTGCAGTGCCGGCTTTGACACCAGGGCTGGTCTCTCCAGTCATGCCCGAGCCCATCTCAGAGACTTTGGCATCACCAATTGGGAAGTCACGGTTTCTCCCATTAATATTCTCAGAGAGCTTTTTGCCAAGCATCCAGATCTTGTTCTATCCACTGCTCCCACACATACTCTCCAGTCAAGTCAAGAGGAAAACTCTGATGAAGAGCAAGAGAGCAGGAAAGATATTAAAGATGAGGAGAACATGACTGCAGATCTTGCCACTCTTTCTTCTCACTCTCCAAAACAGCACTGGAAAGAAAAGCACAATATCAATGAACCAGCGGGTAAGTGAATGGGATTTACTTCTTGATTTCTCAAAGAACTTAAAAAGATTGACCCATGGTCACTACATAGTTATTACTAAGTTCTTTAAATCAATGCAAAAATGGCTTTTAGAAAATAATGATGCACAAAGAAAGAAAAAAAGTCTTGACAAAATATATTTTGACAATAAACATTTGTTATTCTGCATTATTTCTGCAATTACTCAAATGCTAGCTTATTTGTACAAAAAGGTCAGATGTTCTTGCTTAGAACTATTATTAGCACAAGATGCTTTTTGAAACATTGTAATGTCATTGCTGCATAACAAGGAGGGTTCGCTTGTGGACTCATACTAGTTCAATTGCATGCTGTAAACAATAGGGTGGATACAAAATAGTAAGATCATTTAAAAAATCTGAAATTGAAATGGTGGTAGTCATAATATAATTTGAAATAAAAAAGTTTGTATTGCATTAGCAAAAATACAAAATCACCGGTCTCACACTATTTTAAATGGAGTGTTTAGATGAATTTTCAAAGGTTGAAGTGACGTTCTAATGGTCTTACATTACTTGCTCATCATAACTGATTCATAAGTTATTTTTCTTTTACATAAATAGCCTGCCCTTTACCTCGCCTGCTTTGTGGCCAGAACAGAAGTCCAAAATATTGCTAGCCTACTAAAGAGCAACCTCTAAAGCTTGTGGATGCCTTGGGATTTTTTGTAATGCTGTCAGGGGCAGTTGTAAAAGCAGTTCTAAAGATGTTTGTATGGTGCAGGACACTTGCTAATTTCTTAATGCAACCTTCGTTAATGCAGGCTAATTGATGTATGTCTGGTATTTAATAGTTATGCTAGTCTCCGCCTTTATTCGGTTCGTCACGCCTTGGTGCGTTAGTGCATGTGTGCGGGGCAAAATGGCTGCTTCCACCTCCCCGCAGACACAAACAATAGCGGAAAAATTGTCTGACTGTAGGTGCTGTAATAAGTCCGATGCGCTGCAGCCGCTGAAGGGTGAGTGCATGCACTTCCGCGCAGTGCATGGGGATGCATGAAAGATGTGCATATGCTCGGAGCTTAGCCACTTTTCAAGCTTGCATGGCATGCAATCGTGTTAACATTTAAGACAAGCTCCTGTCATACCCGATGTGCATTTTAAATGACTGATGCCTGAAATGGTCTAGTGAGAGAGTGCGCGTACGAAAGCCACTGATTCCCCTGCTGTCTGTCACTTTTCTATCTGAAAAGTGAAGATATGTGACAATATGCGCTCGGGTACTTAATAAACGCAGTTTTAGATGTCCTGTCAAAATGACGGCTTATTTTTTCAGTGTATAAATGTCTTATGATTACCGAAATTAGGCTGAGTCTTCGCCATTTTACTTGAGGTGCTTTTTTAATGTTGAAATGGAGCGCGCCAACGCTTTATTCTTTATTCTTATTTCTTTTTCCGCGCACTTTCTGAAAAACGTTTTTGAAAAGAATAATGACATCGCTGCTTGTTTTCTATGTTGTCCTGAATAAGTTATTTAACGGTTGCCTTTAATCTTTAACTTACTGCATTTGATGTCTTTTGACTATTTGTCTGGTTATTTCAGGCGATGTATGCCATTACAATGAATTTTCATTTTCAGTCTGAGGAGGAAAAAGGGCTGATGTTGCTAGAATTGTGTCTAGGACAGATCAAATGACAGAACAGAAACGCCCACCGCAGGAACGCGTTCACTGCTTATTATATTGAATATGCTGAGAAGAGCAAGACCAGGGAATTTCTGCCTACAAGAGTCTTCAAAAGAAAAACACTGTGTGCTACGAATGTAGTAGGCCTGCTGAATTTACCTCTGGAGTGAATCAAATATTGGTTATGTTCATCTAATTGTTAGACTTCAAATCAAAATAAAACAAGTAGTTTTCAAAAAATGTAGTTAAACTAGAATAGTAGCATAAACTTGTCTTTTTGAGGTCAAGACTATTTCTTAGCTGTACCTTATGGTTTCATCTCCAAAGTTTGTCCGTTTTAAAAACACAGTACAGTAAGTTTAATGCTGCCTCAATCTACTCTGAAAGCTCAGACTTCGCAGGGTGCTAGGTCGGGGGTGGGCTATGCTCATCTAACATTTTCTTTGTGGAACATGATGCTTAATTTGTGAGAAAAATAAAATGAGTTAGAAATAATTATTTAGACACAGGTTAATATATATTAAACTTTTGCCAAAAAAAGTGAAAGACTGTAATGTTATGAAGTACGAACAGAAATGGTGGACTATAATCTCAAAGTTCAAGCATGAAATTGATGTGAATTTTAAGGGCTATATTAATTAATTGAAATTATTTATGTCATCTTTTGATGAAATTTACATCAAACTATACAGTATATTTTGTGATTGCCCTCTAAGTTTCTGTCCCCATAATGAAAAAAATATTTACCAGGTGTCTTTTAGCAAATCTCTCAAAATCACGTAGCCAGTCAATTAAGCATGAATTAACTATAAATAGTTTTTATTTAATATGTACAAATGGTGAAGGGAAAGCTAGTAACTGTTAGTTTTAGGGAAACATTAATTTCAGACCTTTGTGGTTGTCCTTGAAAGGCTTTGACTATTTAGCTCATTTAAACAATTTGTCTCTGTCTGTGCATATTCAGGTGGGGAGGAGGCAGAGGATGAGGAAGAGGAAGATGAAGAAGAGGAGGACCAAATGCCCCGTACGGATAAGTCGGCCACAAGTCCAGAAGAAAAGACCCTGTTTACTCTAGAGGAAGAGAGCCCTGAATCTAAAGAGACCGATTTTATGGGTAATTTGAATTTTATTTTATCTCAACTCTTTTAATCTGCTTTTAAAGGGATAGCTCACCCAAAAATCCAAATATATTCTTTAAAAATTCACCCTCTTTGTTCCACAGAAAAATAAATTCATACAGGTTTGGAATGAGTTATTGTGGACATGAATTTTTATTTTTGGATTAAGTATTCCTTTAAATACTGAAGTCGCTAGTGTTAATTGCATCTACATGGATATTTGAGCTGATGGGATGAAACGTCATATACATTTGCCCTTATTGGCCTGGTCTACCATCTTGATTTTTCTGTCTTTTTACGTGACATTCATCAACTGATCAAAATTAGTTTTTATTTCCACAGTGGCGAGTCAGTAAATGACTATTTACACTGCTTTTTGATTATCTGTGCAATCATGAAAAGACCAAATGTTAATGCCCTCCAAGACTCAATTGAGAAGGGTAACAATCTGATCACCTCAGGAGGTGGTTTGACATGCATACAAGATGAAACGCATTCCAAGAGTAAATGCATCCTGTTGTTCAAGTCATGCATACCCAATTGGTTAGCAATCCCATCTATCAAAATTCATGAAGTGAATAAGTGTATATAGGCCTTGTATCACCATTTCTCTGTTTTCCAGGCTCCAACTTGTTGAAATGTGAGTTTTGTGGTGCTACATTTGAGACACGTCGTGGTTTGTCTAGCCATGCCCGCTCTCACCTACGACAGCTGGGTGTTGGCATGTCGGAGAACAGTGGAGCACCCATTGATCTCCTCCATAAGATCACTAAGGAACGTTCAATTGATTCATGCTTCACTGGCAGCTGCCCTACTATGGAATCATCTAAGAAGCCCCAGCACCATGCCCCTATTGTTCCTATACCTAGCCCCACAAAAGATGTTGAAACTGAAGAAGGACTGCTGGACACAAAGCCCCCTGTCCCGTTTTCTGTAGCTGGCTCCGCTATTAAAGTTTCCTCTTCCCCAACTACTCCATCTGCAGCTGGCTCTCTGCCTTCCTCTCCATTTGTAAAGTCTCGATCCCCTTCCCCAGTGCTGAGAAAGGCTCCCATCTCTTCCTTACTACCCGTGTCTTCCCCACTGCGATCCCAGGAGCATAAGGCCTTAGGAAAGAAACAGTCTACAAACCTCTCCAGTCCAACCAAACCATTCTGGGCACCGCAAGAGACAGATGCCCCTTTGAACCTTAGTAAGAAAGCATTTAATATACTAAATACTAATAAAGAATTGCAACCCATTTTTTGCGATTTGTTTTTATAGTGTTGGGGTCATCAATTGGTCCTTCTTGCTAATTTATTGTCTATATGTCCTTAAAATCTCTTCAACTTTTCTGTTCCTCTCACTTTCTTTTCTAGCGATGGACATGGACTCTAAAGATATTATTTGCCAGTTGTGTGGTGCATGGTTTGAAACAAGAAAAGGCCTTTCAAGTCATGCTCGTGCACATTTGCGCCATTTTGGGATTGAGTATTCAGAATCCAAGGGCTCCCCCATTGACCTACTCAACCGTTTCATCTTGACTGATGACTTTAAGCACAAAGCAAATTCTTTTCTCTCCGATGGTCCTGAGGACCTGAGGTCCAAGAAGATCAGCATGACTTCCCTCTTACCCTCCACTTCCACTTCTTCCTCTAAGAGACATATTCCCTCCAGCCCTGTCCTATATAAAATGGCGACTTCTTCTTTGAAGACAGCCATTGGCTCCAAAGCTACCTCATCTTCTACCCACACCCTATTGGGCCCACCCCCAAAGAAGCTGAAACCCTCCTCTTTGCAGGTCCTTCGTTTCAGTGGTGGGGAAGTGATGTCCTTTCCTATAGGTAACAACTTTTACGTGTTTTGCATGTCCTTGTTTATTCTTTGCTAATTACATAAGGTAATTTACACACATAAACTTAAGTCTGATAGATTGTTCTGTACTTCAATCAGAGCCAATGAAAGACGTGGGCTGCGAATTCTGTGGAGAACTTTTTGAGAACCGCAAAGGCCTCTCCAGCCATGCTCGCTCCCATCTGCGCCAACTTGGCATCACAGAATGGTCTGTGAATGGCTCACCTATTGACACATTAAAAGAGATTATAGTCCGCCGAGGCCTACCGTCCATTATGCCTCTGAAGTCCCCCAAATCCCCCTGTTCTTCTCCGGGCCCAGGAATGCCTCGGCCTGCGGTCCAGTCCTCTTCCCCACCAGGGAATGTTCTTGGGCGCCTACCTTTCCATTTTGCCAAAACACAAAGCCACAACCAGCCTACTTATCGCAAAATGTCTCCTTCGACATCTGCTGCCAGTTCCCCCCAAACAGTAGAGCTGGTAAAGCCAAAACCAGAGCCTGAAATTGTAGAAGTTACTATGAAAGGATCAGACATGGGAGTAAATAAAGGCTACAGTCCAGAGCCATTACATTCCAGTTTAATTACTTCAGATAATGTTTATCCAGTCAACTTGGGTAAGTTTTTTTTTTTTTTTTTTTACAACTGTAGTCTATGTTTGTTTGTTTACTTTTATCATGTTTAATGATGTTAATGGATGACTGAATCATCTGTTGTCATTTTACGGTCTTTCCTCCTACAGTCATGACTCAGGAGAAGGAACCTTCCCGTGATATTCGCTGTGAATTCTGTGGTGAATTCTTCGAAAACCGCAAAGGCCTCTCAAGCCACGCACGATCACACTTGAGGCATATGGGTATCACAGAGTGGTCTGTAAATGGCTCGCCCATTGACACACTGTGGGAAGTCATGAGGAGACAGGGCACAACCCCTGCATCTGTTGCCTTGGGCATAAAGGAGGAACCGGGACAGAATGGTGGAATTTCATTGAACAGTCAGGGCTATCAGACCTCTGCCCTGTCCCGCAAATCACCTCTTAATCTGTTACACTCTGGTTCGCGCCTCCATAAGCATGGGCTGGGAAGCATGACCTTGTCCCCCACCTCACCTGTGGGGAAGATTTTTGGAGTGTCTCCACTGAAGAAGAAGGTGCTGGTGGAGGAGGGACAGCCAGGAGAGAAGACACTGCTCATCCAATCTAAAAACTTCTCGCCTCCCCCACAGGACTATTCCTTTAAGGGTAAAGCCTCAGCGGAGAAGCATGGGATAGGCCACATGGGTAAGGGTATATTTTTGTAAGACTCCTTATTTGGTTCTTCTCCAGAACATAGTTTGAAGACTATTTGTAGTTACTACTTTGTTGCTTCCATGTTTGCACAAGAATGACTCTCAAATAAATAAAAGACCCCAATTCAGAATTTCAAGACTTAAAATAGAGCCAATCAAGTTTGTGGTTATAAGCAAAAATATGTATTAAAAATGACCCTATTTGCTTTTTTTTATATATAGATGTTCCTGGTGTTATTGTGAAATATTCATTGTTTGCTTGTTTAGCTTTTTTTTTTCCTTTTTGAATATCCTGATTTACTTGTATACGTAAAATGGGTTGTGAATACTCTAAAATTTTCTTTTTTGTTTTTCCTTTTCAGATGCTAGTTGTGAACTCTGTGGATTCTACTTTGAGAACCGGAAGGCATTGGCCAGTCATGCTCGGGCACATTTACGACAGTTTGGCGTGACAGAGTGGTGTGTAAATGGTTCGCCTATCGAGACGCTGAGTGCCTGGATACGCAGCCGTCCACAGAAGGCAGCAGAGATGCAGCAAAGTTATGTGCAAGGAAACCGCTATACCCAAAAGAAAGTATGAAAGCAACTACTCCCCAGTAATTGCAATTCTGTGGTGTCTAGCTGTGAAAACATGAAAAGATTGCTCTTTTTATATCAATTAAAATTTCTGTATTCTTTTGCAGAGGTGCAGTTCCACTCTCTCACCATCCTGTAACTCTGTCCCTACAACTCCTGTTTCCCAAAAGCCTGCAGTGTCCAAATGGGCATCTCTCACTTTGCCTCAAAAGAGGGCAATTGAACGTGATGCCAACAGTTGTTCATGGGGGTTGTCATCGCGGGGAACAGACCCAAAAAGCAGGAGTGGAAGTTCCACTCAGCATGGCCTTATTCCACAGCCTGGCGGCCATCATTCCAATAACGCTCTTCCACATGCACAGGTGGCCCATAGTGAACTCAACGTGCGTTTGCCACGAGGTCTGAGTAAAACTTTACCTTAATCTCTTCGTCTTAATATTTCCCTATGTATTTGCAAAATTGTACCTAACCTGCCGATTTCATTCTCTTAAGGATTTGAGAGACGGCCACTTAAACACCCGTCACATGTTGAAGGAGGGGAGGGAGAGAGTGGCCCCCCAAAGCCTCGCTCCAGTACCATTCCTGCCCTTGTGCCAAAGCCCCCCTCCACCCCACTGGTTAGACTTGTGGGTAAAATTTACTCACTCAAGTGCCGGTGAGTTGTACTTGCATATTAAGTCTTGTCCATAATCTAGTGAGCTGCCTGGATATCTACAGCCTACATAACTAGAATGCTAACTGAAATGGAAACTAGTAAGTGACTCTTGTAGAATGATCTAGAATCATAGGTCTAGATAGATACATAGCTTTGGTCTAAAACTTTGTATCTATCTTTTCGTCAGATCTTTGTGTTGTGAGCATGTCTATGATGCCTTAAAATGCCTTAATATCTTGGTAGTCAGTAGGGCTGTTCGATTCCGAGATTTTTGGAATCGAGTCCGATTACTGGTTCTGGAATCGATGGGAGTCGATTCCAAGAATCGGTTCCTCTCTGTTGTTTTCTATTCTTTTTTGATTCTTGTTTTTTTTTAGATCGCAGGATCCTAATCTCGCCATGACTACAGGATAAAGGTTTATTTGTAATATAAAAAATACATTTCTATAGCTCTGATTGATTTTACTATTATCGAGCAAGAGGCGAATTAATGATACGCTTTGTTGAAATGAAAAAGGTTATAAATGAGGAGTCGATTCCCCTTGAAGGAAGGAATCTTTTCCAACCTTTGGAATCGACTTTCGATTCCCAAGGCCTCAGAATCGAGGAATCAGTTCCCAGCCCTAGTAGTCAGTTCATTCGTTTTTTTTAACAGCTAGTGTACATGTAGTTCATTTAAGATCATTTTTATGTCCTTAGTGTAGATGAAGCCTTGGTGTGTTGATGATATTTTTAAAATAGCTTAGACATTTCTTTTTACAAATGTGTAAGCCCTCAGAACCTTATCTTTTATTTGTAATTCATTTCTTTTAGGTTCTGTGACATGGAGTTTCACGGCCCTCTCTCGGTACAGGAGGACTGGATCAGGCACCTGCAGCAGCACATCCTCAACCTTAACTACAACAAGACTGCATCACCCCCAAACGACACTCCTGTCCAAAGTGACACTCCTGCTCCAAACCCCATTGTCTCAGCTGCTACCTCCTCTTCCACTACAACCACAGCTCCTGCCGCGACCCCGTCCACGCCCTCCCCAATGCCCACTTCAGCCTCCACACCTACACCCACTCTCAACCAAGTCTCCGTGGGGCGTCCGGCAACACTAGAGCCAATTCCTTCGCCTGCAAATTAGACCATGTTTCCCTCCTACATATGTATGGGATGCCATCATCTTCACCAGTTACATCCCTAATCTGTTCTTTTTGGTTTCTGTATTGCTCATCTTTGAATATTTCTATCTCTGATCAAAGGGAGAGATTTTTTCGGAAATTCTCAGCTAGCGACCTTCTTACCCTGACCTACATCACAAGCATCTGTTATGATTCAGGCGTGAGGTAGGTGTGTTGCCATGACAGTTCTCATCTCCCTTTTGCCTCGAAAGGATTGATCATTATTTATGGGAAGAAAAAAAATATCACAGTACAATGCAACGTTTCATGCATTTATGCTTTGGAAAGGAGAAAGAGTATGTGCTGAGTTCAGTTTTGTAAGCTACCTGGCCCTTATGCCCAATGCCTAAAATTTGTTGTTCAAGAGGAACTCTTAAGACTACAGCAAAACCGTTTAGCTTACCTAATGTATTGTTAAAATCGTTGACAAATCAGAATTACAATCAAAAAGGCACAGAGATAATACTATAAAGCACTTAGACAAAAGGCCTTGGCCCTTTGAAACAAAGCTTTTCTGTTTCTAGCATTTGCAAATTCACAGTTTGTAGCTGTTTTAACTGTGATAATTAAGTACAAGCTTGCACTGCCATGCAGTTATAAAAAGATGCGAGATGTTTGTTTGAAGCAGACATAGATGGGTTCATGTCAAAACGAGACATGCTTTTCCCATTTCTGTTCCTTTGGATCCTTTTCTGCTCCATTGCTAAAGGGTCATTATCCCTCTGCAATCTTGATGTTTATATTCTCAGTTGAATCTTGCAACTTAGAGATGATCAAACTTGTCTGGAACCATTTGCTGCTAAATATTTAAATAAGCTAAGCACACTTAGTTAAATGCATTGTTTTAGCACGTCCAACATTTGTACAAAATAAGCATGAAAATTACGTCATGCCTTCCAGTTGTATTCGAACATACGTATTTATGCCTTCATTGCTCTTTCATACAGCACATTATTTTGTAGCACGTTTGCACAAGTTTATGCATTGCTTTGCATAATGCTTTGAAGATTTTGATCCTAGATCGCTCCATTTTCACAGCAGCTTTCTTGTTATTTCTGTGCTTGACACAATGTAAACTCCAAATGAAACAGTTGACTCCACTGTTTAAAAGTCTTCTGGTTGCTCTTTAAATGATAATGACGCTTTCCGAGAAATTGCCTTGGAACAAGTTGACGGGCTGAAGTATTTTAGTCTTATAAAAGTTAAGATGCGATAACCCCCCCCCACAGATTTCAAAAGAACCCAAATTGATGGCTCTTTTGAATGTTGAATGAACTGAACTATTTGGCTACGCTACATTGAATGTTTTACAAGAGTAAAAAGACGATGCACTTTTGTCTGCAAAGAATTAGGGAGCGTTCGTGTGTTTAAACTCTTATAAATATATATATGTTTAGTTTTTTTTCTGAACATAAAGTGCTAAATGCCTATGTATGACGCTATGTAAGAAGTTTTTCCCTGTACCAATCTGAAGGCGTTTTCACAAAAACAAAAGCAAGAAAAGGATTTTAAGAACTGTTTAAATTTGCCAGTGACAGAATGTGCCAAAGAGGACGTCACACATGTTTTGGTAGCTTTGGTAGTTTTAGCTTTTGCAAGTCCCAGTTCTGTTTTGTCTTTGAGCAGTGGACGGTGGCAGCAGATTTGCTGCTGTGGATTTGCTTTAAAATAAATAGAAATTGACAACTAAGTATAGTTTACTATGTGAGTATACCATACAAGCTCACCATACTCATGGTGCTTGATTCATCCAAGAATTGACTGTCGATTTTTACTGCAAAAACAGTGACTGCCTCCCAAACATACGAGTGCTTTTGCTTATGTTTCCATATCTTCACAGGGAAGCAATGACAAACCGGTCCACTATGGATGTTTGTTGCGGCTTTCACGACTTAAATCTGACTGTTAGGTTTTTAGTATTCCAAAAGGGAATATTATTGATATATCTTACCTAACATATGTATAGACAAGAAGAAGATATTAACAGTTTAACACTTCAAATGTGATCTTTGTGAATTTATTTCAATTTTTAATGCTGTGTATTTTTTAATGAGATGTGCATTCCTTTACTTGCAGTTACATACCAGTGGAATAGATCAGTGTTTTATTTTTTATTCTGTCAGTTTCTCTTTTAAGATTAAGTACATTGGTGCTCATGTGAACGAGTGGATGTGAATGGATTTTTAATTGAAGATTGTTTCAAAGGGAGATTGTCAAGTCCTCGTCCAAGGACTCTAAAAACGTGTCTTAAATGCAACTGCTATGTATGTTGTTATTGGTTAGTTGGGTCATTTTGTGACTGTTGCCCAGTTGGCATACATGTGCTTCACAGCAGATGGTGTAAGATCTCCTAAAGATCTCCTCAGCTGGTTTAGACTGCAGTCTCTGTACAAGTATTTGTGTTGTATGAGAGAGAGGAAAACATGACTTTTTGTGACTGAAAGATAGAAGTGCCATGGAAGTGTTGACCAGAGACGGATTCATGTGAATCTGCTCTTGAATGAAAATCATTAAATGTGCTCTAAAATCTCAGCAAGTTGTGCACTCGTCATTTTTGATTCATAACTCAGCAGGATGATCAACAACGCCCTGATTTAATTGGACGGAGTCTAACATTCTTTTGCATACGTCTTATCAGCGCTGGGAATTGTAATTAGTCCGATAGCAAAACAAACCGCTAGTGAATGGTTAAAGTGGATGTGATGGGAACACGATTATAACAAGCTTCCTGAACTCTTGTTCTAATTCTGTAAAACGAATGCCGCTTTCCATTAATAGGGAAAATATCACGTTTTTGTAGTGAGAGCTATTATGGAGAGAAAAAAAAAAAAAACGATAAATTGGCATGCAAAGCAGCAACATTGTATCCAGTGTGTAGGCCAAATTCGAAATGGTCGTTTGTTCTGTAGGACTGGGTGTCGATTCCAAGGCATTGGGAATTGAGTCTGTTCCTAAAAAATCCGGAATCGAACAATCCCATTGGTCTGTCCAGCCTCTGGACTGTACCTGGTAATCATACAGCATAATAATAATGACATAATCTGTTTTAATATTTATTTCATTGTAGTCAAAAATTGTAGAAGAAACCCAAGAGACCCTTTGAACCATTTCTACTGACAAATAAATAATCTCATTACATTTTCTCTGTTTTTTTATGCTGTTCATCAAGATAAACCATTACACCGTATTACTCAAGTTAAAAGAGAATATTTAAATTATTTAAAAAAAATCTCTCAAATAAATAGGTTTGTCAAGTATATTAATATTATGAACACATATTTGGTCTCAAACTAGCTAGGCTCTACTGAGTTTAATTTAGGTTTAACCTACAATCCTGTTATTATTCTCTTTTTTTGCATGGGATTGCATACATTTTGTTTATTCTATGTTTAATGCTAAAACATAAAATCACACAATCAGGGTTTTAAACATTATTTAGACATGTTTCTCAAATCATATAAAATAAATGTAAAAGTATGAAGTAAAACAGAATAGTAAAACCACTAGTATAATATTTAGTTTGACCTCCTGAAAATGAAAAGAATATACACTTTAGTTTAGGGTCCAACTCTTACAATTAACTTGTTGCTTATTAGCATGCTTGTTACTAGAATATTGGCTGTTTATTAGTACTTTTAAAGCACATATTAATGCCTTATTCTGCATGACCATGTTCTACATCCCTTAATCCACCCAATACCTAAACTTAACAACTAACTTACTAACTAGCCTATTTATAAGCGGTAGTTAGGAGTTTGAGGCAAAAGTCATAGTTAATTAGTGAGAATTGGACCCTAATCTAAAGTGTGACCATATCCTGTATATATCAATGCCAGTGTGTCTTAGCCTATTGTAAACGCATACCAGACGAGGGCGCAATTGAGCCACTAAGCAAAACACATGTTTGAAACCGTTTCCAACCCTCAATCACAATCACTAGAGAAATTACCTTGCATAGCCTTTGCTTATTTGGGATTTAAAGTTAGTGTATAAAGTAGGACAGTTTTGTGGATATTGTAATTTTTTTCTAATCGTATTACTCTAGCTTATCTCCATGATTGGAGGGCTTTTGATGGCAGGAAGTGTGGGAAGCGTTCCATGTTTGGTGATTTTGTGCATTTCACATTCTCAGATAGAACCGATAACTGAGTCCAATGGACCTTCTCATTGTATAAAGATATATTGGATGCTATTGGATAGCATTTTTCAGCAGCACTTTATTTTACAGTCCTGTTTCGCATGTTCATACTATATTCTTATATTATAACTGGGTAATAACTAGGTACTAGTCCTGAACTAACCCCTAAACCTAATCTTAACCCATGTATATTACTCAGAACTTTCTTGGTAAGTAGCCTACACTGTAAGTACATTGAAAGTGCACGTATACTGTAAAATAAAGTGCAACCAATTTTTCTTTCAGACTTCCATAGTCAGAGCCGATGTTTGTTCGTATCAAAATATGTCCGAAAGGTTTATTCAAACCATGAGGGAGTTTAATGTTGTACTCTGAGAATGAGCTGTCTGATATATTATATTACATGTACCCAATCATTTATAAGGTGTGAATAATCTTAGGTCATTTGCACAAAAGGAAGATCTTATTGGGTGACGCGGACATTTCCCAGCAAACTCGGTGAGAAATAGAAAGATAGATTATACAGCTACTATGGATGCGGGTGTATATGTCAAACTAAAACAAACACTTCGGAGATGACTGCAACCGTAAAAGCCAAACAATGCCAGATCCAGAGCGAATGGGCGGGAACACAGAGATGCTATCGGATATCTGTGGCTGACAGGATGGGGAAATAGCTTAAACATAAACTATACTGACACACTTGTGTCTCTTTTAAGTACAGAAAAATACCAGTCCTGTGTCTCACATCAGGCGGAAAGACTCAAGGCTAAACCTAGTCAATGACATTGTAAGGAGCAATGGACCACAAGGCCTGCATGTTTCTGTTTATTTTACATGCAGCTTCTAAGAGTTATTAACATTATTAAAATCAAGAGTTGTATCCGTTAATATTATTTAATGAGCTAACATGAACTAACAATGAACAGTTGCATTTCATTGTTTATTAATCAATACAAATGTGTTGCTCGTTGATAGTTAAAGTTAGTTGATGCATTAATTAACATGAGCTAATGGGACCTTATGGTAAAGTGTTATTACTGGTTTATTTTATTTTTTCATTGTTGTTGGTTGCACCTTATTTTAAGGTGT